ACTAAAACCCAATCCTTGTTACATGATTCTACCTCCCCTTGTGTCTTTTTATTTAGTGTTTTACAGATCACTGCAGATCTGGAAATGAGGATTGACAAGATGGTGAGGCTGGCATCCTGCTATGCATTCTAGCCTGTGCCCTCCATTCTTAGGCTCTCATTTTCCTTCTATGAAGTTCATTCAATCTATTGCCTCTCTGCATTCTCTTTATATGTTTTATATGCATTCTCTGTTATCTATCATGCCACTGACACAACTTCTCTTATTATGGATCTGCCACCTTTTAGAATGTTAGCCTAAAGAGATCTACTTATTACTTAACCTGTGCCTTGTCCTTTTCTCTTATACTGACTGGAAGTACCCCCTTCCCCACATATCAATCTATTGACCCCAATGATCTCTTCATTCATTTCAGTTTTCTAACAATTATTTCCCTTATTCTGACCACAACCACATAAACCTCCTGGTTTTCTACTATTTGTAGCTTATTGATTTCAAAAAAACAAAACTTTAATTTGTTTGTGTTACCCTTTCAAGCTCAGCACCTAGAAAGCACTCATCATTGATAACATCACAGCTCCATTAACATCTGTATTCCACTGTTTGCACCATGACCACTACATAGCGCTTGGAGTGTTAATTTAGATTCAATCTTTTTTACCTATGGAAAATCTCCATAACATTATTTAACAATGTACCATATTTACTTGAATCTAATGTGCCATCGAATCTAATGTGCATCTCAATTTTTGAAACCTGGAAGCTGAAAAATGTTTTTGCTGGCGACTGTAATGTGCATTTATCTTTAATAAGATACTACCATACAACATTGTGCTACAATAAAAATGTTTATTGTTCTATACCATAGTAATATTGATAGTATTTCAATTTTACATGGGATGTTAAGTCTATTCTTTCTTAAGCCCTCTTTCAGGAACACAATTTGCCTGTTTGAATTCACCAGTTTGAATGTGCCTGTTAGAATTTGTGTGTTTGTTTGAATTTGTGAGTCTGAATTCGTGAATTTGAATTTGTGTGCTTGAATTTGTGTGCTTCAAATTCACCGGTTTTAACTGTAAATGTAACACGCCATCAAATCTAATGCGCATTAAAATTTTTCCAAAACAGGTTCGCATGAGATTTGAGTAAATACAGTACTTTAATTAAACCTCTTGACTGCTCTTTCATCATCTAGACAGCCATAGAAACCCAAAACTGTCACCACAACCTTGCCAAGACTGGCCATCAGGCAAACTGGGCAAATGTCCTGGGATCCGTCTACCTGATGTGGTAGCTAAATGCTAACATTAGCCATCCACTTTTTTTTTGTTTATCAGAGAGCTATAATTTGGTTTACTCTGTTAAGTGATACATGAGCGTGCTACCCATGTGTATATAGAATTTAATGAGCAAAACTATTCTGAAACCTGAACAGGGATATACCGAAGGACAAGTTACTGAGTTCCTCTAAGCTTTGTCTGTCTCATATTCTCTGTTTTTGTTGCAATGCATTAAGTTGGCTCTCCCCAATTTTAAAGAGTAATCCAGACATGGACCCCGTGCTCACTATGCCTATTCCATTCTCGAAGTTCTCATATTCCATGTTTTTGTTGCAGTACTGTATATAGAATTTAGATGCTGCTGGAAAGAAATAAGTTGAATCAAAGCTGAGATCGCAAAGTGACTAACATAATGAAATAACTGATTTCCCCTGCATTATATGGACAATATATATATCTAGAACTGAGTAAGTCTTTTCATCTACTAACAGCATCAATAAATTATATGTGCAAGTAAAGCATGGCAACCCTGCTACTAATTATCCCTCCTCCCTATCAGGCCCACAACATTTCAGGATGTACACAATATTATAGAAACATAGAATGTGACGGCAGATAAGAATCATTTGGCACATCTAGTCTGCCCAATTTTCTAAATACTTTCATTAGTGAATGGCTTTATCTTAAAGGGACACTCCAGGCACCCAGACCACTTCTGCCCATTGGAGTATTCTGGGTGCCACCCTTAACCCTGCAAGTGTATTTATTTTTTATAAACTGCGATAATTACCTTGCAGGGTTAAGTCTACCAGACAGCCACTAGAGGGACTTCCTTGTTCTTAGAACACGAAAAGTGTTTTAAACAACGCTGGACATCCTCACACTATGCATGAGGACCTCCAGTGTCGCCGGAATCCCTATAGGAAAGCATTGAATAATGTTTTTGTGGCCAAAGTGACCTCGCCACTGGTTTTTGGAGGGGACTACTTGCCAGCCTTTTACCCTGTGACTATGGCCCCTTTAATTTATTGTGGTTGAGAGACCCTATTTGTGGCTATTGGGACTTTAAACAATGGTTCTTTGAACTCCTGAACAGTCGAAGTGGCCGCCATTCAACATTCGAACACGTGGTGGCGGCCATCTTGTTCGCATGGACCAAGGGGGACTTAGCCGCAAATGCCCTGAAACTATTTTTCCCTGTTCCCGGTCGGTCCTCCAGCGGTACTTAGCCGCGATTCTATGGAACTGTTTTGGGCATGAAATCCTGTGTTCGCCTGGGCAAAATTATGACTTCCATAAAATATCTGAACCCTCTGGGTGATTTTCGGATATGTTGGTCACCCAGATCAGGGCTATAAGGGGATGTAAGATTTATGGGGATATGTTGTGTTTTGGGGTACTTCATGGACGTTATAAAAATGTGTGTTTTTTCTGGGTCGGGATAATTAAGTTAATGCCTTATCTGCCTTAATTATATCACAGGCACAGGGGAGGGATTGTGTACTGTATATAGGAGTGTCGTTCCTTATCACATTGTTTTTATTGGCTTGCATACTTTGTGTCCTGTGGAAACTTGCATAAAAGGCCAGTGTGCCCCATTAAAGCTAAGTTCCTGTTTTACCCTCTCGTCTCATGTGTGGGGGAAATGGTTGCATCTACCCTGGGGATTGCTATATCACTATACTCCGCTGGGATTATAATCACTAAGCTCTTTTAAGAGCTGTTCCTGCTTGACTCTCTGGAGGAAGAGAGGTTCACCCACTGGAACCTGGAGCCTTGTTGTAGGTCCAGGGTGGGTAGGAGATGACGAGTTCCCAGCCAAGCTGTAACGCTGGACGTGGGGACTGCAGTTCTGATGGTGTCTGGTGGAGTGCTTGGAGTCCTCGGTGAGCATTAGGAGCATCTGTTGGCGGAGGTACCCAACCGGGGTACAGGAAGCTCCGTTACAGCTTTCCTATGGGGAGGTCTAAGGCGCGCAGCCATTGCCGCGCATGCGCATTAGGTCTCCTCCGCCGACGTCAGCATGGCGATGTCAGCATGGGCGCAGCCTGACCCAGCACCGAGGGACATCGGCGCTGGATTCAGGTAAGTCACTGAAGGGGTTTTAACTCCTTCAGCAACATGGGATGGGGGGTGAAAGGGAGAGGGGAACTGCAGGGTCCTGCAGGGTCCTGCTGTGCCAGGAAAACTTATATGTTTTCCTCGCACTGGACTTTCCCACGCATGGACTGGACTATCCCACGCATGCTTAAACTCCCTTACTGTGTTAACCTCTACTACTTCAGCTGGAAGACTATTCCATGCATTCACTTTATGATATTATTTGTAATGGATGTAGTGTTTGTGTGTATTAGATACTGTTTGTGCAGTGAATGCAGAGTGTGTGTTTGTGTAGCGGATGCAGTGTGTATAGTGAACGCAGAGTGTGTTTGAGTAGTGGATGTAGTGTGTGTACAGTGATGTAGTGTGTGTATTAGACGCAGTGTCTGTGTATAGTGAATGCAGAGTGTTTCAATTTGTGGTGGATGAGTCCGGGCCCCCCAGGACCTCCAGGCCCATGACAACCATCATGGTTGTCACCCCTGATGGCGGCCCTGCATACACTAATCTCCCCCCTCCCTGGACACAGGTAAGAAGCAGGGAGGGGGGAGAAACATTTAGTTAAATTAATATAAAATGTGATATTCGCTATCTATGTGTGCAGAGAGGGAAAGTGGGGCCCGGGACTGCCAGAGCAGTCCGGGCCCCCCAGGACCTCCAGGCCTGTGACAACCATCATGGTTGTCACCCCCTGATGGTTGTATCAGCTGGAATGTATTTTATCCTTAGTGAATAAGCCTTACAGTGTATTATCCACAGAGATTTATGTTTACCTCTGTCCCTGTATGTTTAGACAGGTGTTGGTACCAGCTATTGCCTAAAGTCAGTGACACCTCACAGTTCTAGTGGGTGGGTCAACATCTATTAATGTTTATTAAGGTATTAAGGAATGCCGTCATTCATGCAGTACCTGCACTGCCTTTGGTAATCCATACGTATTGCAGCCAAGAAACCGAGCAAGCTGGGAACCTTTTAGATTAAGAATAAAGAGTGTTTGCTTTTTATTTAATATTTTAAACAAAGTTAAGATAAAACCATGCTGACATCAGATTTCGCTTTTCTGTGTTTTATCTGCTTGTGATTCAAAACGGCTTTTTTATGCTTCAGCGTGTTAACAGAAATATTAAAGTAGATTTGGCTTTTTTTATTATTATTATTAAAAAAATGTAAATGTGTAAAACCAGGAATAGGACATTTAGGAAACTTTGCAGTTGCATTGTCAAGAAGCCACTTCCCATGCGTGACATAGCTAGTGTACAATTAATTAGACCCAGGGAAATCCTGTGTGCAGAGCTAGACGGAGCTGTTTATCAAGTATTTTCGTACTGAGTAGGAAAATTTCACCAAAATCTAGTGATTAGTCACAAAGGGAAAAATGGTCCTATTTATTACAGCTAAGTGCATGTTCCAAAAGAATTGCCAAATGGTTGGATAAGACCTTTAGGTTTTTAAGATGTTCACTACACTACGTCTTTCTGTCTGTGTAGCTTACTGGCTGGGTTACTTTTCAAAAGTATTAAAAAAATCACATGAACCCCTTAAGGACACAACTTCTTGAATAAAAGGGAATCATGACGGAATATTTCCGTCATGTGTCATTAAGGGGTTAAAACATACCTTCATTCCAGTTCCAAGTACAATCTCTTCTTCCAAGTACAATCTCTTCACCCCTGCTCAATTCTCCTACTCTGATATAATATAATCACTTAATCCAATGTTTTTCAAAGAGTGCACATACATCACTAACACCACCATATGTCAGCTTTCCATAGGACTGAATCTAATGTATCTCTATGAGAAGTACTAACCCGCATGTAGCGTCATCATGATGTGCATGATGATGCCAAATGCCAAGGCCTTTGATTCTCAAAGGAAGAGCCTCCTGTGGTTCAGCCTGACAGCCCGTAGAGAAGTGTTTTCGGACAAATGTAAACATTGCCTTTTTTCAGAAACAGGAATATATTATATTTTCAGAGATGGGGATAGGATCTCCACAATACCACATTAAGACATCATTTTGGTGCTTAGACAGGGCTCGTGCTTCCATGAGGTGGCATAGGCAACCTTTAAAGGGTGCACGGGCAGGGAGTACAATGTCTGGAGACAGACAGGATGGGGATGCACAGAGGACACTGGTTACTTTTCATGGTATGACGTCTACTCAGTCTGACAGGGAGCTGCAGACTGTGACTGGAGAGGGTGGGGAATGAGCAGCGAGTACTTTCTTGTCAGAGCCTGTAGATTTTTAGCGCGGTTTGTGAGGCCATGCTACCAAGATCAGTAAAATAATTTAAAAGTGGGGGGTTTGAGACACAAGGTGGGGAGTAAAATACACAAGATGGGGGATAAGAGACAAAAAGGGGGAAGTAAAACACAAAAAAGGGTTTAAGAAACACAAGGAGAGTAAAAGACAAGGCAGTGGAAGAAGCACAAAAAGGGGATAAGGGGACACTAAGCGGGGATAGAGACACAAAAAGGGGGGAAAAGATATAGCACGGGGGTAAGACCTTTAAATGGTGGATAAGAAACACAAGAGGGTGTAAGAGATAAAAGAGGCAGAAAGAGGCTGCAAAGGAGGATAAAGATGCAAAAGTGTGAATAAGAATAACTTTGATATCATTAGAACTACAATTGTGGCAACATGTGTTTGAAATATAAAGCTTTAAGTATTTAGATGTGGGTTTCATGCTAAAACCTCTAAACAGCACATCCTGTGTATTTTATTGTGGTAAGATATTTGCTAATTTGCTATCCAGTAACTATTGCTAATATATATATAAATAAAACCAACGGGTGTAGTGTATGCGTGGGAAAGCATTGTGATTGGCTGAGAATATAATTTCTGAGTATGTCAGCCAAGGATGCAGATCAGAGGCAGATCCAGCAGCAGGGGGGGCTATATTTAGAGGAACAAAATACTTGCTTATAGTGAAAGCTTAAAGTGTCCTGATCGGCTGCACTTTTTAAAGAGAAAATAAGAGGGATGCTGGTTAAACATGTCTAGGAACATGTAAAATACAAAATGTGCTATCGTACGAGAAATTCCAGACATGGAGAATCTATAGTATGCATAGGTTTAAACAAGCATGCTAGGTTAATGCATCGTTAGTAAGCTTGCCTAGAATACCACTAGTAGGATGAGTAGCTATAGGAAAATACCACCGGACACTATATAAACAATCTACAGCTACTAGTTGATTTAAACAGATTAGAAATAAAATAAAATAAACAATAATCAAGTTAATCATATCTGCAGTAAGAGAGGCAGTTTGAAAGACAGGCTGTAGATAACTTTAGCCTATGCCTTTGGAGGGGGAGGCACTGCCACTAGAATGATGCAGTCCAGCTATATCGATGGATTCACCCCACCGGTCCCACATTCCAAGGATCTTCTGAAGGCAGGAGTAGAGAGTATAGGAGAAATCTAGGACGCCGCATTCTTGGGACTTCTCAGAGTAAGCTGCGGTAGTGTGCCGTCGTCATGTCGAGAGGAGAGGGGGGAGCATTCTGCAGCAGTGCGGTCCTGTGCTCAGCGTCTGTTAGCTGCTTTCCGTGGCTGTGAGGCAGGGATGCCTGGTGTGCTGGAGTAGGCTTTGGTAGTAAGTGGGTCTCAGTGCAAGTGGCTGTGGTCCGGCAGAACCTCTCTGGCCATATTTGGCAGGTGGAAGGCTTTCGGCCTTGAGCTTGAGTCACTGGAGGGGGTAGAGTGCTGGGAGACAGCTCATGAGGAGGGCCACGGTGTGGCTTCGGCAAGGGAGGTTGTTGGAGGCAGTGTTGTAGCTTTGCCCAGAAGTCCTCAAAGATCCTGTCCAGCATGGACAGATGTGGGTCCTGGGTGCTGGGCTGCAATGGACACATGGTGTCCGCCATCTTGTATTGTCTCAGTGTGCCTTCTGCCCGATTAGGCCGCAGTGCTGTGAAGCCCCGTTTCGGCAGGGATGTCTCCTAGACCGGGATGACCCCCACCAGTCTGGAGGGGGTTGGGAATGGGCTCCAGGAGATGATTCTAGCAGCTTACTGAGTAGTCCTGATGGGAGATCGGCCGCCTCTCCACTTGTCAAGGTACACCAGGTTGCAGTACGATTGATGAGTTAGATGAGTTACAGTCACTCTAATATAGCTCAGGTGCAGCTAGAGACAGTTAAATGTCTTGGTGAGTTGCATATCAGTCGAGTTTTTAGGCATAAAACTGCTATTAATTTCTTAAAAGTCCAGAGCTCATGTAGGACACATCTACCCGGCATGGCAGTCAGGCCCCGCCCCAGGAGTTAAATCACTTCTGTTTCTGTTTATGCAGTACTAGCCCTATTTCCATTGTTTGTGACTCACACAAGTTCTTATCTATTGCTCTGCTAATTCAACTTTTATCAGACACAGGAGAATGCTGCAGGCTCTTGTAGGCAATTAGCAGAGCAGGATATAATAAATACTAAATTGTGCAATAAGGGAAGCTAATTTTTTTAAACTTCTTTTTCAGGAAGTGTGTAGGAAGACTGTGTAAGTTGCAGACAGGAAATGTGTGGCTAAAGTTGCACAAAGTGATTTAGCTTTTACATGGCAGATAATTGAGAAGTGAGGCTGCAGAGGCTTGACCTCAACACCAAAAACTTTTTTTTTTTCCTACAATCTTTATTTTTAGTAGTAGTATCGAAAAATATAAAGAGAAAGTAAACAAGTGCTCATCACCAAAAACTTTATCTTAATCTAAAGATGTTTTGGGTTGATCAGAAGGCACTGTATAAGGCTTTAGTAGTTAGAATGCAGAGACGGCTCAGGGAAACATTGGGAGAGTCAGATTCAGACTTCCGAAGCTGCTTCCTTGTGCCCACTCTACGGGCTAGCTACTAGTACCTTACACACTGCCTGCACAGTGGCAGTGCCTAGGCCCTATGTGCATGACTGTCCAGTGAGGGAGATCTTTGGGTTGGCACTTGATTAGTGTTGGCCTTGTATGGGTCATATGGGGATCTCCTTTGTCAAGCCATGGCCAGGACAGGCCAGGACATGCTCTTAGTATGCTGTGTGTGTGTGTGTGTGTGTGAGAAGGTGCTGTTAGTGTGCTGTGTGTGTGAGGGTGCGGTTAGTGTGGTGTGTGTGTGAGGGTGCTCTTAGTGTGCTGTGTGTGTTTGTGTGAGGGTGCTGTTAGTGTGCTGTTTGTTAGGGTGCTGTTAGTGGGCTGTGTGTGTGTGTGTATGTGTGTGCTGTGTGTGTGAGGGTGCTGTTAGTGTGCTGTGTGAGGGTGCTGTTAGTTTGCTGTGTGTTTGTGTGTGTGTATGAGGGTACTGTTAGGACTCTACGGGCTAGCTACTAGTGCCTTACACACTGCCTGCACAGTGGCAGTGCCTAGGCCCTATGTGTATGGCTGTCCAGTGAGGGAGATCTTTGGGTTGGCACTTGATTAGTGTTGGCCTTATATGGGTCATATGGGGATCTCCTTTGTCAAGCCACGGCCAGGACATTGTCCAGATTGTCAAATGATGCCGTACTGCACAGTGAGTTATATGACTATAAAAACCTATTGCATAGTGCATCCGAGACTGAACAGTTAGGGGAACCCTAACATCATTGCAGTAGAAGGACATATATGTCCTTACTTGCCCAAGATTAGTTGGAGTTACACTCTTGGGCAGAAGGAAGCAGCTGTTATTATTAATTAATTCCTTCTCCTCTTAATGATATGTGGGGAGCTATAATACCATAAACATATTGTGGTCTTTCCTTCTTCTTTCCCCATACATCAGTACACATACACTTCCACACACAGATACACACATATATTGACACAGATACACACACAGACACATGTACAGATGTACATATATGCAGACACACTCACATACTGATGCAGATGCACGTACACACTGAGATATACACAGACACCCACGCACACTGAGACAGATAAACATGCACACTGACTCACACATAGATACACACCCATACTGACACAGATACACCAATACTGACAAACAGATGCATATATACATATAAACTGACAGATACATACACTCAGTGACCCACACAAACACAAACACACACACACTCAGTGACCCAAACACACACACGCACAGAGACACACGCACAGTGACCTACACACACTGTCATAGGGGTGCACAGGCATGCGCACACATATACATACATACACTGCTGTGTGTGCGAGGGTGCTGTTGGTGTGCTGTGTGTGTGAGGGTGCTGTGTGTGTGTGTGAAGGTGCTGCGTGTGTGTGAGGGTGCTGTGTGCTGGTAGTGTGCTGTGTGTGTGTGATAGTGCTGGTAGTGTGCTGTGAGGGTGCTGTGTGTGTGTGTGAGGGTGCTGTGTTTGTAAGGATGCTGTGTGTGTGTAAAGTTGAAAGTTGCTGTGTGTGTGTGAGGGTGCTGTGTGTGTGTGGGTGCTCTGTGTGTGTGAGTGTTGTTAGTGTGCTGTGTGTGTGTGTGAGAGGGTGCTGTTAGTATGTTGTGTGTGTGTGTGTGTGTGTGAGAAGGTGCTGTTAATGTGCTGTGTGTGTGAGGGTGCGTTTAGTGTGGTGTGTGTGTGAGGGTGCTCTTAGTGTGCTGTGTGTGTGTGTGAGGGTGCTGTTAGTGTGCTGTTTGTGAGGGTGCTGTTAGTGGGCTGTGTGTGTGCTGTGTGTGCGAGGGTGCTGTTAGTTTGCTGTGTGTTTGTGTGTGTGTATGAGGGCAGGGCCGGATTAACATAGGGGTTGATGGAGCTGCAGCTCAAGGCCCAGGCCCATTGATTTAAAAAAAAAAAAAAAAAAATTTTTATTTTTTTTAAATTTTTTTTTACACACACTAGGTATTTCTCATGTATTTCATAGGGTTGCCAGGTATTTCTCAGAAGTATTTCTCAGGTATTTGAGGCTGCCTAGCCAGTGCTGGTATTGCAGTAATACCGTCAATACAAATGTCTATCTCAGTATAAACAGAGATTATTCTGCAATAACAGCACCGGCCAGTAGGGGTAGCTGTTTGTGTGGAGAGAGGCAGAGATAAGAAGTTACAGCATCTCTCTCCCTGCCTCTCTCTACTCACTGACCCGCGGGGAAGCAGCTCTGCGCAGAAAGTTCAGACAGCAGCTCCGAGCCTGCGAGACATGGGGACGGTGAGACATTGGGACACTGGGGAACATGGGGACCCTGAGACATTAGGGACACAGTGACCCCATGTCTCCCAGTGGCCCCTAGTCTCTCAGTGTCCCCATGTCTCCCAGCCAGTGTCCCTAGTGTCCCAGTGTCCCCATGTCTCCCAGTGTCCATGGTGTCTCTGTGTCAGCATGTCTCATTAGTATCTGTGTCTCTATTCTCCCAGAGTCCCCTAGGCTCCCAGAGTCCCCATGTATCTCAGTGTCCCCATGTTTCTCCCAGTCTCTGAGTGACCCCATGTCTCACAGTGTCCCAATGTCTCTAAGTGTCCCCTAGTGCCCTAGTGACATCGGGACACTGGGAGACATGGGGACACTCAGAGACACAGGCTCTAAGGGACACTGAGAGACATGGAGATACAAACACTAGGGGACACTGGGCGACATGGGGGCACTGAGAAACTAGGGGACACTGAGAGACATGGAGACACTGGGAGAATAGGGACACAGATACTAATGAGACATGCTGACACAGAGACACCATGGACACTGGGAGACATGGGGACACTGGGACACTAGGGACACTGGCTGGGAGACATGGGGACACTGAGAGACTAGGGGCCACTGGGAGACATGGGGTCACTGTGTCCCTAGTGTCCCCAAGTATAAAAGAATCTCAGGCACTCACTGTGACAGATTTAAGCAGGTTTATTGGACACCGCAACGTTTTGACCTGTACCCAGGTCTTTATCAAGTCTCCAGTGTCCCCTATATATCACAGTGTCCCCTATGTATCACAGTGCCTCAGTGCCCCATGTCTCCCAGTGTCCCCTCATGTTTCAAAGTCCCCCAGTGTCCCCATGTCACCCAGTGTCTCCAAGAATCTCACTGTCCCCAGGTCTCCCAGTGTTCTCTAGTATCTCAGTGTCCCCATGTCTCCCAGTGCCCCAATGTCTCTCAATGTACCCTAGTGTCATGGGGACACTGGGAGAAATGGGGACACAGACACTAAGGGACTGGGAGACATGGGGACACAGACATGCCCCCTTTTTGTGTATGTTCACCTCTTTCGGCAGTTCTGGTTATGTGATTTGTGTCAGTGGCCCACCCTTTTACGCGATCCATAGACTTCCTGCTTTACTGGACACTGCTGTTAGGGGGTATGGATTTACTTGAAAGATGAAAGCGTAAGATTAGTATAGGGTATGTGTTTTCTCATAGCTGCATCCTATGAGTTTCCCTCCTGCACCATCTCCATCAGATACATGACACTTAGGAGGTAGGACTGTTTTAGTGTTTTTGGTCAATAAGATTTTGTAATTAGGCCCATCATAATTGTCAGCACCAGGCCCACTGGGCTCTTAATCTGGCCCTGTATGAGGGTACTGTTAGTGTGCTGTGTGTGTGAGGGTGCTCTGTGTGAATTTGTTTGGAGTGATTGTATGTGGGGGACAGATTAGGAAATAGCCCCCCTCCCTTCTTACCTTTTGCTTGGGTGGGCGATCCTTGCTGCCATCCCTGATCCCTGGTGATTCTAGTGGTGAGTGAACTCTAGCCTGCAGGGCTAGAGTTCACTCTCGCAAGATCTGAGCATTGCTGCAGCAACGCTTCGACCTCACAAAAGGAACCCGGCAGAGCTGCTGGCTAGAGCTTCCAGGGTCCTCTCCTGCCTCCCTTCCTGCCTGTGGGCCGGTGAGGGAAATATTTGATCTCCCCACTAGCCCATGGAGGCACACAGCAGTGCCGGCACTCGAATACTCGAATAGCGCCGGCTCTGCATGGACCGACAGGGGAGATCCTGTGATCTCCCCTGCCGGCCTCGATCCATGCGCTGGCCGCGGGGATTAGGGTTTGTCCAGGCACACACAGCACACCCTGTGCGCTCACTTATGCACACTGTAACCACCACAAACTGT